GAGTTCAGTCACATTTAGCTTTCCTTTTCTCTTTTACAGCTACTGACAGACAGAATTACTTTGCAGATTAAGATTTTTTAAACATAGCATATGATAAATTTAGAAAATATGGAACTATGCTTTGGTTAAACTATCCAACAATATAAAGTAGTTAAATGTGCTACACCAGCTGTAACTTCAAAATGCTGCTTATGTGTAAAAGCATCAGTAATAATAGATAGATAGATAGATAGATAGATAGATAGATAGATAAATCTAAAATCTAAAATCTATTCCAAAAAATAAACATGACTGACAATGCTTGGCACAGCAGTTGGTTTTCACATGAATCAAAACCAGAACTGAAAACATAAAGTAGCTTTGACTGAAGCTCAGACACACAAAACCTGCACTTCATGGTGTGTATTATATGATTCTATTGCTATCTAGAATTCCAAAGTGTCTTCTTATCTTTTGTATGACGTTAATTCTGAATAACTAGGTTTAAGTATGTACCTTAGGCAACAATAAATCTGAGACTGTTTCTACTTGCTTTTCCAGAGAGCAGGTATTTCATGTTTGCATAACTCAACCTATATCCTCCATGTCCCAGATTTCGTCTTATCTCCAAACCCTCAACCCTTTAACCTCAAGCTGAATTTGTTTAGTCAGCAACAGGTGAACCTGGGTGTTTTTTTCAAAGGTTTCCACTGTAAGGCCTGCTGTATTCCTCAGCAGGGAAACACTGTTTGGTCAATTATTAACTGTTTTATGGCTTTTACTGTTGGTAGGTATGCACCATGACATCCCAGTTACACAAACACACCCGAACACATAGACTGTGAAGGCTTTCTGAGTGGAAAGTCACCATGGTGGTGTTTTCAGCACCCTGTCGAGGCATCCCTGAAAACAATGCATGACCTAGGGTGAATGAACATACACACACACACACATGCACACGCGCGCGTGCGCACACACACACACACACACACACACAAACACTGGTGGGAGAGGTGGACATTTCTAGATCTGTCATGGCAATCATACCACAAAGTCATATTTCCTGTTGTACAGTTAATTTCGGGTAAGGCCGTGAATCCTCATGATACCAACATATACAGAGTGTATTCTGACATTTCACAAATTTCAAAACTCCTTAAGCAATGCTGCTTCTGAGAAAGACTGGATACAGAGAAAGTGAAAGTTTAAATAGACAGAAGAAACTGGAAGTTTCTAAATTACAACAGTCCAAGGCTTTGAGCTGGAAATGGCAGGAAATGAGTGATGAGGAAGGAAGAGAAAGAAAGAGGTGAATACAAAAGAGGAAAGAGCTCTGTATGACCTACATCTACTACTACACTTACTACTTATGATACAACCAGTGGTCTTACTTCATGTTCTCAAAGGTCATTCTCTGCTTAAAATCTGTCTTCAGAGAATCAACACTCCCTCTGTGAGCTGGAAAAGTGTTCATATAAAGTTTATAGGTGCTTCCTTTTACAAAGAATAAAATATAGAAGGGGTGGTCACAGCTTCTGAGCATATTTTAGTTGAACACAATATGTTTGTTGTAATATACTAAGCATATTTGGATGAACTGCAGAGAAGACCATCACAGTGCTGGAATGCTTTGAGAAATGCTGGGATTTTTTTTCCCCCTCAGTGTGAAACCCAACCTGTTCTCTTTCCCAGGTCGTCAAATACCAATGCTTTGTCACGCCCCTGTCTGATAGTGACACACAGGGCACCCGTTGGCGTATCTATGTAACGCACAACTGAAACACATTGTGACACATAGTTAATGTAGTCAAACGCTCATGGTTAGGTTTAGGCAACAAAACTACTGGGTTAGGTTTACCAGAAAGATGTTCTGGATTAAGATAAGTTTGTTACATAATGTTAACATTACATTAATATGTCACATGAGTGACATCAGTGCACGACGACAGTACGTAACCATGACATGATGCTAAAACACTTATTCTTATTTACACACAGGACACAAACTGTGGTCTCCTGGGTGAAAGTCCAGTTTTATTTGACCCATCCACCTCCTGCTGCTCCATGTGGACATTCTCACTCTTTATACTATGTCAGTTGCTCTTAGTGTCAAGTATTGCCACAGGAACCTGGTCTTACTCTGAAGTCCTTGAAATCTGGCGCTTGGGCAGTGACTTGCGGTGTCAGAAACCAATGAAAAAAGGCGTCCTATAATGTCGGCATGATACGCGACTGATTGCAGTTATCATTTAACGGCACCCAACAGTGTAAGGGGGAAACGCGGTGGGACAAGGACAAAAGTTAAGGCAGTAAAAGATAAAGGGGTGGATGGGAGGGGTGGTGGATGGATCCAATAAACTGGGACTTTCACCCAAGAGAGCAGTGTCTGCTTCTGTCTGATTCTGAAGCCAAACCCTGTTCTTTTTTCCTAAACCCAACCATGTGTGTTTGTTGTGTTTGAGATTGTGTGTAAATGTTAAATTTCCTGTGAAAACGGGAGTGTATCTCGAAAGAAGAGGACTTGACCCCGAATCCCAGAACGTCAGCAACCAATGCACCTAGGGTACCCTGCACATCATATATGGACATGGAAAGTCCATGACCAAAACGTCAATATGTGACGAGGTCGGAATGAGAATGTGTTGGCCTCATATGGGTTTACATTGGAGTTCGCTGACAGCTCAGTGCGTCTCATAAAGACGCTAAAGGGTGACTTTGGTGTCGATATCACATGCTGAGGGGTGTCAACAGTAGTTCCTGACACAGTCCAAGCTCTCTGATAAAAAAAAAACTGTCCAAAAACCTAAACAGAGAGGAAGGGAAATGAAAAAATCCATAGGTGAGGAATTATTTCTCCTGCTACCAGCACATCTACTAGTTATTATACTGATTATACCTTAATGTGATTACTAGTGAAGCAACTACTGTGTACCAACTTCTAGTACCACTACTCCGACTGGTAATATGATAATGATATGATAATAATGCCACTATTAACAAAACCACTACTACTCGTGTACACTTACTACCACTATAAAAAGAACTACCACTTCCATTGCCACAAATATAGTTTAAGTATAGAATAAGTTCAATGTATTGAAAATCAAACTCCACTTCTGTAAAACAGACTCTCCTACCATATCTACTAGTAACTGCTAACTGCATTAGCATCTTTCTTAAAGCTACTACCGCTGCCTTTTTCTAATTGTAATGATAATAGTGTATTTTTAGGGTAGAAACCCTCTCTTAGCTCCTCCCAGGAAATCCCCGTCTGCCTCAGTAGGTGAGTAAACAAGATCAACCGATTAAGACCAATTAAGACACAGAGGAGTAGTAGGTTACAGCAAAGCCATTTGACTGCTACAAAATGTTTTCACAAGCAGCTTGTGTTCAGTGAATTCAGCTTTGGAAGAAAACATGTAAAATTATATTGTCTTTACCTACCGACCAGCTGATCCTCAGGATAGTTTCACTTCTAGGGAAGGGTCACTTCATTTTAACAACAACAAACTGATCAATTCGCTTCTCAAAATCAGCTGAAGGAAGGAATACAGCCCATCACACTTCATCTGCCCTGGCTCTCTGTCTAACCTCATAGCTATATACCCTGGCTGATGAGATGTAAGCACAGAATAAATAACCACCGTGTGTCACTCAGCTTGAACAGCGTTATTCACTCGTTAGTGAGGAATGACTGGAATGGAAATCCATGTCAGTGTCAAAACAGGGAGAGGGGACGGAGAGCAAGGGGAGGACGGAGAGGACTTAGTTTATACTCATTTGTAGTGATTTAATGTGCTTTATTCAGCTTTATGAATGTTCTTCATATGATTAGGAACTTAAGTGTGAGGGTGTGGGGGAGAGGAGGAAAGAGAGGAGGAAGAAATACTGAGATAAAGTGAGAGAAAGGGAGAGAAGGGATGAGAAGGAAAGGAAAGACTGACAGAGAGGAGAGAGGGAAGGGACTAAAAGAAGGAAACAATGAGAAAGGAGGAAGACTGGGACAAGGAAAGAATAAGTAACAATGAAGGAGGAGAAAAAATAATTTGGAAAGGGGGATAGGTATGGACATGAGAGGACGACTGAAGAGGGGATGAAATGAAAGAAAAAAATAGGATGAGGGAAAGAGAGAAAGTGGCATGATGAAGGGATGGAGAGAAGTATAGGCAAAAGTTAGAAAAAAGAGTGAGGAAGAAGAGACAGAGGGGATGGGTGTATGGGGAGAAAAAAGAGGTGGGAAAAGGGAAGGAAAGAAAAGAGGAAGAAGGAAAGAGGGATGATAGAAATGAAGTATGAGAGGAAAGAAAAACTACAAAATGGGAAAGGGAGAGAAAGAGGTGAGATAATGATGAAGAGATGGGTAGGAAGAGGAGGTGAGAAAAAAGTGAAAAAAAAAGGAGTTGGGAAAAGGGGGAGGAAATAACGGGAAAGGAAAGGAAAGGAAAGGAAAGGAAAGGAAAGGAAGAGAGCAGGAAGAGGAGGAAAAGAAGGAGATGAACAGAGACAAAAGAGAACAGGAAGAAAAGGAGGAAGAAAAGAGAGAGGAGATCAAAGGATAGAAAGAAGTAAAGAGAAGGAAAGAAGGAGGGAAGGAGCATAGGCAAAGAGAAAAAAAGACAAGAGGAAAAGAGGGATGGATGGAAGACGGAGGAAAAAAGAGTATGAAAAGAAAGTAAACACAAACATAATGATGGAGTGATCTACCTAGGAAAGGAGGAAAAGAGAGGAGAGGAAAGAGTGAGGAAGAGGAAAAGACCGGGAGGAGATGGAGGAAGAGAGCACGGAGGGGAGGAGGAGGGGGGGGGGTCTGTCCTGTTATGGCAGAGCAGCTCGGGGTTGCTCGATTGCATCATCGCAGGATAAGCCTTCTATAAATAGGATGACGTCACCCCCCACTGCTCTCCCTCCACCCTCCCCTCCGCGCTCACTAGTAGCATTCCTTATTGCGTCACGAGGCCCCACCCCCGTTTAGTCTGCTTATAAACGGGTGATGCAATGTATCGGCCACAGGCGCAACTCAAAGCAGCGACAGAGAGCGAAACAGAAGGAGTGAAGCTAACTATACGAGATTATATTCTCCGGTTCATCTGACCCCAGTCACTCACAGCTTTTACAGGTAGGTCGGACTCTTGTTTCCGGGGGGGAAGGTTTGTTGGGGAGGACGGACGGTGCTGTCTTCGGTCCGTGTTGGAGCGCTGTTGTCCCGGTCAGTGTAGCGGAGAAGTGCCGCTGCTGTCCCGGGACACTTTACCAGAACTTTTTAACTTGTTTTCATCCGTCAGATTAAATGAAATGTAAAGGATAAAAGCGTTTTGACACAAATTTAAGCAGTGATTTTTGATTTTAAAGTTTATCTTTTTTTTTATTTATAACACTTTGAGAGATTTTACTTCCTCTGCTCGATCTTCGTAATGCATTATAATAACATAGAAAATATATTTGCAAGATCCAATTAGGGTTTTCTCGGCATGTCCGATTTGTAGATTTTGTGAGTTAAAGTGAAGTATGTTTATGTTATTATTATTTTTACTTTTGAGCTAATGCAAAAGATTTAGAGGTTTAGTTGAATGAAAAACAACTGTATTTATTCTCGGACACATTATAGCCCACATATATAGGACAAAATTGGAGAAATATTATGGCAATAAAATAACTAAATGAAAAATTAAGTAACAACAACAAAAGACAAAACAAACAAACTGTGTATCACTTGCAATGTTATATTCATTTAAAAAAATCAACACAATAACTCTCTAATAACTATGACACACTGTGGAAATATTATATAGTATAACTTTTATTTTATACACTTTATGTGCTTGTATCAATGTGTTTGTTTTGGTTTCACAGAGCTGACATTAACATCATAATCATCATAATCATCTTATCAAGCTGCCAGTCATAACTTGCCATGAGTCACTCTTCTGTTTGGATAACAAACATTCGTACCTGTGAATGACTCTTTTTAATTATTTATGGCGTTTTTCCAAATTATTTGTTGAACTTCAGGTGGCTCTCCACAAAAGCATATTTGACTCAGTGGCCATAAATTGTTCCTCCTCATTCTTTATGTTGCCTTAGATAACATGTAATCTTGGGATTTAAACACATCCTACAGCTTTTGTTTGTCTTTCATAATTGTGCAATGTTTGATATCTGTATCATTATTACTCAGCAAAAAACTTATCTGTGGTTCTTAATAATAAGTTTAAAGTGACTTTTACATGCTATACTACAACAATAACTTATTGTGTGTTTGTTCTACTTAATATTGGGATAAACTGGCTGTGCTGGGTTTGTTACTCCTTTATGTTATCACTTTAATATCTTTATAGGCACTTATCATATTTTGTATTGAGCCTAGAGAAAATTTGATATTATAAATTATATATTTGTTAATTGTAGTATTTGTATTTTTTTATGTGTCTTGAGCAAAGTCTCTGACTCTGACTGACATGATAATAATCAGTTGACTCTTGTGTTCCCAGAATGATGCTGCAGCACTCGGGTCCCTCGCTGGCCGATATCAGCTGCTCCGCCCTGGTGCCCTGCCTCTCCCCGCCGGGCACACTCACCCTGGACGACTTCACCAATTTCACACCCATCGTGAAAGAGGAGCTGCGTCTGGCCATCCAGACCAAGCGGCTCTCAAACGGGCTCAGCGTTGACATGAGCTCCGATGGCGCCAGCTCCAGCTCGGACCGAGCCTCAGAGCACCAGGCAAGTGGATCTGGAGTCAAGAGAGAGGTGAGGCAGAGGGAAAACTACAGCATAGTCATCTGTTGTTTTGACACTGACTGTGTGTTTTACAAACAAGAGATCAAATATTGACGGTCTATATTATCTCTCTGGTTCTCAGTTAACACCTCAGGAGCACGAGAGGAGGAAGAGGAGGAGAGAGAGGAACAAAATTGCTGCTGCCAAGTGCCGCAACAAAAAGAAGGAGAAGACAGAGTCTCTGCAGCAGGTACTTTTCAACTTCTATTCTTAAAGTTTTTTGAGAGGTTTTTTTTCCATAGAAAAACTTATGTACTTATTGACTTATAACTTATTTTACTTATTTTGTTAAGCATTTTTCACACAACAAAAATAACTCTTAAATTGCATCGAAGAAGAAGCTTTGAAAGATATCTGAAGACTATGTCCAATTGGAGTTATGTTGTAAATAAAAACAGTTTTTAACTTTATGTTGTTGCGTCAAGAGTCAGCTCTTAAAATCTTTTTAATGTAAAATCAGCAAACTAAAATTTTGCTCATGTAGAATTTATCTGTTGTTAAAGAAGTTAAGCTTTTTCTACCCTGAGCACTTGGTTGCTCCTGTTCAGAGATGACTCTGTATTTTGCCCATGCTGTGAAGTTTGTGGTGATTTTCAACATTTTTAGACAGTCCAAACCACACAAAAACGTTAACGCTGTAAAAGTACAGCATGAACAATCTCCTCCCTCTCTCTTCTTCAGGAGTCAGAGAAACTAGAGAGTGTCAACGCTGACCTGAAGGCTCAGATCGAGGAGCTGAAACAGCAGAAGCAGCAGCTGGTCTACATGCTCAACCTGCACCGGCCGACTTGCATCGTCCGAGCCCAGAACGGCCAAACCCCTGAGGATGAGAGGAACCTCTTCATCCAACACATCAAGGAGAGCACCTTACAACTCCACAACCTCACCTCCTCCACCTCAGCCACCTCCACTTCCTTGTCCACATCCATCTCCACAATAGCACCTCTAGAAGGCGGACTTTTGACCCTTGATCACATTCACTGTCCCAGTCACCTCTGAGCGACCATGTGTTTATGCCACTTTTCTAAGACTTGCAATGCTTCCATCCTGCTGCCATCGATGTAGCACAGACTGTTCGAGAGGCAGGTGGAGCTGCCACATAGACTTACGACCTGAGAATGACAGTGACATATAATAAACACCATTCGGATGTCTCATGCACCGTCTATAAAGCTGCTATAGAGAGAGAGAGAGTGGCATAAAGTGACCTCAGCACCTCCCACTCCCTGAAACCGTAGCTGCTGATTGGACAGGAAGTGACACACAATGGACAGCACCTTGCCATGCATTATGTATTTCACTTTATTTTTTAAACATTACAACCAGTCAGGGCCAAGGACAGATGCCAAAGCACTAAAAAACAAAACAAAAACTTTTTTTTTTTTTAAATTTACTGGTATTGCGAATAGGTGAAAGTCTCATTTAGTGTCCGATTTTTGTACCAAAGTGTGTATTCAGGGTAATTGAGGCACATATTTTAACTGTTTGCCCACAGAGAAAGAAGACGCAGATCAACTGTGTGAGTGTGTTTGAGCTGCAAGCCACAGGCTTTGAAAAAGACATTATTTGTGCTTATTGTATGAAAAATGGTATATTTATTTAGTAACTACTGTATTACATGCCATTGTCGTTTCAACCCTGTCTGCTTATCCTTTACATAACATGAACTACTAAATTTGCTGCTACTACTAACCACTCAGGACCTATGTTGGCTGTAGAAGGGTTTTTTTTGGCTTAATTTTAAAAAAAAGTCAGGTTGTTTGCTATCAGGGTAGCAGTAGCAGTTACAAAAGGGAAATGTATTTTGCAGGCAGGGTTATAATTCTGCACTTAATGGAAACGTGTAGTAAAAAATTACATTATCATCATATATGCAGACGATACTTTACTTTTCTCAACAGTTTGAATTACGCTGACGAGCAAAATTGTCCCCAAAAATGATAATACTGTATAATTTCACAAGTACACTTTATTTATCACTGCGTTCCCTCTTAAAGTAAACAAATCTAGTGTTGCTTTTTACATCTTCTGTGACGATAAAGCTTCGCAAGTACGATTGTTATTTTTCAGTCATGTTTTCTACCTGAAATCTTGTATATTGTATCGACTGCGTATTAACTCTGTGCTACTGTATGTCAACACCGGATGCCTCCTTTGGTCTTGACAGTGCAAAACAAAACAAAAAAGATTGTTATTTTCTAAAAATGTATTTTTTATTAATAAGATTTGGTTTGGAAGTTGTGTTCACTAGATATCATTAGCTAGGTATCAGAAGTGTTGCATCAGCTTTCGGCTGGTCCTTTAACGCGCCTGACTCTGAAGTTATGCAAGATGATGTGATATTATACTGTGTGTTATGAACTTGATCAGTATCCAGGCTTCAACTCACTGCCAAATATTTCCCTCTCTGTGGCCCATTGGCTTTAGAGTGAAATTATCCCTCAAGAGAAATGTGGTTTATTGCACAAACAGAAACTGAGGGAGTGTAATGAATGAGAGTTAAGGGGCTATTTTCTTGTCAATTACTAATCATAGCATCAATCTGCAGTGCCCATCAATAGCCAAACATCTGCGAGCAAGACACTGAAAACCTCTTCTCCCTCAGTCATTGGAGTTCACCTTACAGCTAACACGTCAAAAGGCAACTCTGCTTATCAGTATTTGAATACTTCTCAGTAAGTAAACATTTAACATCATTGTAGCAAAAAAAGAGTTTAAGATCACTTTAAAAGTTTTGTCGCTACTGGGATATATTTTCAGTTCATAACAGAAGAGTAATAATCTATGTATGAACAGCACATTACTGTCATGGTGAGGACTGAAGTTTTACATTTATGTTTGCATGGTAGAAAGTTTATATTGTTAGTATTGTGTGTGTTAACTTAAGAGTCACACAGTTAAAGGGACGCAGGCGTTCATAGTGTGTATGTTGTTTTTGTGGTTGTTCATTGTCCTGTCGCTAGTCATGGCTAGATAGCTAATAAGCACTGAGTTCCATGTGTATGTATTCTATTGTGCCTACTTCTACTGGAGGCCCTGTTTTTCTCTGTAGCTGCTCGACTGTCGGAGCATTATAGCCTAAAAGAATAAACTGTAGGCTGTCAGGTACAACTGCACTGCTACTACCAATGTGTACTTCCATCTTTGTGATCTGTCAACTTTTGTTTTTGATACTTTGTTAATTAAAAATAAGTATTGCAAATGTAACTGTTCATGGTGTCATTTTTTTGGAAAAAGTCTGGTAATACTTTGGTTTTAAAGGATCCTATCCCTTTGATAGCGATCACATCCAGACCCCCATTTCATCATTTCATGAGTGTGTGTGTCCCCCAATGTTGAAAAAAAAATCAATGCCCAAGGTTATATGAATCCATTAAAAATTAATGCACCTTTTTATGGGCCACTCCCCCACCCCCATAGACATAAAAAGTTAATATGCTGTTCTATGGCTCTTGACCAATCTTTCTACAGAATCCATAAGCCATTTCGAAGTTATGTGCCACACCCACTGCTAAACTAAAACTAAACTAAAATAAAAAGTAATAGACAAAAAAACAACAAAAAAAGTTTTGTCTTGAGATGACAGGCTTAAATTATTTCAGGTCAGGACATCAACACTGCAATTTCTTGTACAAACACAAAGGAAAAGATATCAGGAAAACCACAGTGTTTCCTTGAAGTACACAAGAACAGCATTCCAAGATAAGCACAGGGAACTTGCTGTCAGAAAAAAATACCTTTAAATTAGAATTTTGTGCGTCATCCCCTCAGACATGCCTTTTTTCTTCCGCAAGGAGAACACCTTGTAACATAAACATGAGTTCACCTACAAACTTCCTGGCTCAGAGCAACAGCTGAAGAGAGACACGACTGGACATGCCCACTGTTCAGAGAGAGATAAGGAGAGAGTGAGACAGACAGAAAAACAGGGAGGGAGGGAGGGTATGACTTAATGTTTGTTATCTAGGAAATACTGTTCAAATCACAACAAACCCATCGGCCCAGACCACCACTGGGTGCACATTCTGAATATTTAACCACTTTTCAGTTTGTAAAGGGTTAGCTTTTACAAAACTCTACCATATCATTAACCAAATTTGGTAAAAATTTGAATTAAACAGAGATGTGTTTAAAGCAGGCTGTTTGTATGTATACCTGTGAAAAGTAATGCACCACAATTCATATATAACGCACATAATTAGGAAAGCTGCAATCACGTCACCAATGTGCTGACAGGAGTAAAGAAGGAAGTAGTATAAAGACTGAATGTCAGTGTAAGCAGGCAGGTTGGGGTGTTGGATAGGTCAAACAAACACAGGACCTTCCCCTCAGACAAGAGTATGCAACCTGCGGCTCCAGAGCCATGCAGCTCTTTAGCCCTTCTCCAGTGGCTCCCTAGCACTGTTAAGCTATGTTTATAAATTCATTTTATGCTAATATAATCTTGTGTCGCTTAATTTGTGAAGTTTCTATGGTTGTGTATGACGGAGGATTTTGTTTTTGCCACTTGATGTCAGGAGAGGAAAGATCACCTCCAAAGATATCCACAGTCCTCTTTATATCTACACAATGCAGACATCACTAGAGTCCACTGGTTACAATCATACAAATTGCTGTATTGTTATATGGTGCAAAATCTGATAAGGTGTGTGCAAATTTTCCATTTGCCTTCTTTGCCTAGCTCAGGAAGATGCTTCATCTTTTCATGTCTTGGGTCAACATCACTGTAGTCTTTGTCAAAGTTAGACATCATTTGAATCACTCATTGCAGTTGAACAATCATCTCTGACGTGGTTTTGCCACAACTGGCAATTTGCTAATATTTAATGTGAAAATTACGTCACTTCCTGTGTGGCAACTCCGGTTTAAACACACTCTATTGGCACTGTCACGTTGCAAGCTGCTACCCAGGGAAATGTGCCTGAACAGCAACACATAAGCAGTGAGTACATCCACATCAAAGATTCAAGCCTAAACATCTTCCAGAATTCCATCAATCAGATGACAAATATATTTGAACTAAAATAAGTTATAGACTTCAGCATAAACTCCTCACCAACATGCTAGATAGGTGGAGTTCACAAAGCACCGGGTTTCAACAATCACACTTAAGTTGTTGAAAGTCAGTTTAATGGATGTTTTTATGATGTGACACTAATTATGCAATTACATAACCAGCTAATTGGCCTGAAGCGGTACACCCCACCCTTTAAGCTCACCACCATTAAAGAAGCACTGGGAATGACCTGATTTAGGTTTGCCGGTTTCTGCTTAAAAGTATCATCATCATCTCACATGGGTTTCGCTGGAACACAAAGGTGATGGCAGGAAATACCGAAACACGTCAGCGCCATTTGACTTTGTATCCATGTTTCTGTAGTATTTCTATTTAATTCATGGTTGACTCTCCCTGGATAGCAAATCATCCTTAGTTTGTTCTCCAACTTATGAAGTCATTTTGTTTAATGTTGAGTCCTAAGGCTAATTTCTTTTCATTAAAGCATAAAAGAAAAGAACAAAGTTCAACAAGTTCATTTTCATAAGACTACGCTGTGGGTAAGATCAACAACTACCAAGCCACAGTATGAGAACATGGGCGGTGCTCTGTTTGCTGGAGGGAAATGTTTCAACCTGCCTTAATATTGTTTGATACACAAGTGGTATGTTAATTACAACATATCCAGGAATCACATCCCCCCTTCTGCTCTCCTCTGGTTTCTTCCTCTACCTGTTTTGAGACCATCCTTAAAAATGTTGGCTTCGCAAATGTGACATTTGTAGCAGGCCTTTATATTACATTTTAGTATATTCATCAAAAATAATGGTTGTGGTTTTGACTAAAGCTAACCATTAATGAAGAAACAAGACTACCTGTTATAATATTGTTATCTATACTGATATTTTTTCTTGTAATAGGCTCAACTTACTCTTTACTTTGAGAATATGGAGGAGAAAACACGATTATGAAAAAGTAGATAATATTTCGTCTGGTTATGGCATGCTTTCAGGGGTGAGCAAAGGTTCAGCTGTCTTTTCTGCAGGCTTTAATTAAATAGTTTGATGTCAATGCCCGGAGCTGAAACGTTGGTGGCATGAACAGGATCTGACATGAAGGTGTTTGTAATGTAAATTAGCCTTTTTTTTCCTTCATGATGAGAAATCCTGCTGAAACACAACTCATTAGATCTTTATTCCAAGATTATTTTTATAATAATGGCCCCTTCCCTACTCCCCCCACTAGCATTACCACTTCCAGCAACCTCAGAGCACACCTATCTTTGAACTTGGCCCTCATTTCGATCTGAACAAATCTCAACAAATACATTTAACAACAATAGTAAAAAAGACCAACGATAAGACTTAAAACAGAGGCAACTTATGACGAGGCACCATTAAGTAAAAGCCAAGCAAAAAACATATGACGTAAGGTTTCTTTTAAAAGTGTCTACTAAGATGGAGTCCCTCAGATGCTCAGACAGATTGTTCCATAGACTTGGCTGCAGTAGCTTAACGCTCCCTCTCCATGGATTTTTGTGGAAATTAGTAGGACGACCAGCGTGCCAGCAGTAGAAGATCTGAGGGACCTGCTATAGGTACATATCTAAAAGGCATGTCTGAGAGATAAGCTGGTGCCAGGCCATTCAGAGATTTAAAAACTAATAAGAGAATCTTAAAATCTATCTAAGAAAACGGATAGGCAGCCAATGCCATGACTTTAACATAGGAGTTAAATGTGCTTTCTTTGTGGTCTTTCTGGCTGCTGCATTCTGAACAAGTTGTAGGCGGCCAACAGCTTTTTTTAAGAAGACCAAACAGGAGGACAATACAGTTGTCAGGCTAAAGGTGCTGACACACCAAACCGACATTAAAGAATTAGCGGTGATGAAAGCCAACTGTTGCGTCTACATTGCCTCACGTCACCCTGTGTCAGTTGCATTTGAACACACTACAAAGACTACATCAGACGGCCAAGTAGCACGTATGTTCTGCGCCTGCGTGAAAGGAATTACACAAAAAGGGAAAACGGAAGTCCGAGGAATGCATGAGATAAACAAAGGAGTGTCAGCCGTGGGGTTTCCTATCTGTGCAGCCGAGCACCGCAGCACCTCCACAGACTATTACATCCAGAAGGTCCTGGTGTTTCCTCCGCAGGCTCCACTTCACTCAGCTTCACTCAGCTGCCCGACAAACCTGCTGCTTCTTCCCACTTTAACCTGAATAACAAACTGGGGCTCGGTGCTCTGGTTTGATCCAAACGGAGAGCTGGGGCTAGTTGGGAAGCTAGCAGAGGCTAAGTGGCTGTGCTTCCCTATGGTCATGCTGCCACTATTCAGGTTAAAGTGAGTCAGTGAGTGATCTCTCTCACCGACAAGCTCCGCTGCCAATTCAACATGCTCAATCGTCCGAAAAGCCGCTGACGCCGATGCCGATGCCGATGCCGAAGTGTCGACGGTGTGGAACACACCACAAAAACTAGGCTGACAGACGCTCACCGACGGCCCGACTTTGGTCAACTTGGTGTGTCAGGGCCTTAAGTGGTTATAAAGGCATGGTTTTTCAGTGTCAGCCTGAGAGAGAAACTGTCTAACATTAGCAATATTTCCAAGGTGTTAAAATGACAGTTTCGTGATGTTTCTAATGTATGATTCAAAACTGAGGTCAGATTCCAAAATAACCTCAAGGTTTTTGACCTGGTCCTTGGTATAAGGAGTTAATAACTAAGGGTGTAGAGACTGTTGCAGCCTCATGGCTTCTGCCCTGAATATTAAATCTGTCTTGTCTTCATTTAAGTTTTGTGACATACATTCATGTCATATAAACATTTCACTAACCTATTAGTGGGGCTAAAATCATCAAGGGATACTGAAATGTATAATTGGGTGTCATCAGCGTAGCTATGCAACTCAGTTTTATGCTTTTGGTGATGTTGCCAAGTGGAAGCATATAGAGACTAAAAAGGAGCAGACCTAAAATAGAGCCTTGAAGCAATGCTCAGGGTGTGTCTGTTTTCTTTGAGGAGTAGTCACCCAGGGAAACAAAGAACTCCTGAGAGACAAACACAGTTTTCAAGTCTGCACAGTAGGATTTCATGGTTAATAGAATCAAAGGCTGCACTAAGAGCAAGGGGTAGTAGGACTGAAAGCTTGTTTGAACCAGTGTTAATTCTTAGATCATCCACCAATTTCACCAAAATAGTCTCCGTACTG